TGGTACGCAGAACTGGACATAGTACTCAACCAGCGCTGAGTAGAGGGGAACTAGTACTTCAAGTAATGTAGAAGTAATGTTTCTATACACGCTTTTGCCTTTTTTGTAGCGGTATCACACTGTTAACTCATTTTTGGCTTATGATCTACACCAGTTCCAAGATCCTGCTCATTTGTAGCGTTGTCGAACAAAGCTCTTTCCCAGGTTCAGAATTTGGCATTTGTCCCTATTGGCCCTACATCTGGGATGGGGCGACAACAGGGCATGTAGGGAGTCCCAAGGATTGTTGGGGACAAGATGGGGTCATTTATCAGGTAGAATCTTCTGAAAAACATTGCTGGGAACTTTTCTGATCAAGCTTTACTTATCGATAGTAAAGCAGGGCTTAGCAAGAAAGGCTGTACTTATTTATAGGAGGATTGTGGTCATGGAAAGGGCAGTGCTGCACAATAGAGCAGCATGTTGTGCTTATATAGAGTATCAATTTCATTCTACTTGTGTTAATTGTTGAAAAGAAATACCAGCAGCATTAAATGCTCTAGTGTAGAAGCAAGCAAAAGTAGGCATCCCAGCTTTGTTTCTGATACAGGGTTCTATCCAGTGAATTGCGTCCGGTATTAATTGAAGTTCCATTCATTTAGATAGCTTTACCCTGCTTGGGGCTGCCATTGGATGCAGCCTATTAATATGATTCCTCTGCAGTGCACATCTGTTCTTCTCCAGTCTTTGATCCTCTGAGCTCATTCAGCACACATAAATGCCCCCTTCATGTGCTATAACCATGAATGGGCCATCACATGATTATGAAGAGCAGGGTGAGACTGCTGGCCACAGCCCTGTGCCTGAGACTTTCAAAAGGACACTTGCAGGAGGAAAAGCAATTGCGAGTAGGTTTCTATATAGCTGCCCTTTCCTGGGAGCTGGAACTCTGATCACTCAGAGAAACCTGTGGATGTAGCAACACACACACATGTACGCACATGCACACGCACACAGGCTTTCCCCCTACAGATGTCCATGCCTACCAGATGGATTTCAGGCCAGTGGTAGTCATGCAACCTCAAAGACATGGTATACCCAGCAGTACAGCTGTGCTCCCTGATAACCATGTCTGGACCCTTTCACACATCAACTGCTTGTTTGTTACCAAGCTACATCCCTCATTTGTTTTCTTGGGTTTGGACAGAAATTTGGGAATTAGCACACGTGGACCACATGCAATGTAGGGGGAGGGAAAAGAAAGGAAGAAGAAAACAATAATGCTGACTCTGGTTTTTTGCATCTCTGAAACTAATTTTAGCGTGCATACTATTCCTCAGCGGAAAAATTGCCCAGCATATTCCGACTGCCTGTTTTTTGTAGTTCTGGGATATCAGCATCCTCTAATGCCTTGGTCCCCAGAGGTCATGAAGACAATGAAAACTGCTGCATTGTTCATAATTGCTGCTTTCAAGAATCGCAAGATCTGGATAGGACAGACGTTTCTTATCATGGACTGCAAGAAGAATACATTATCCCTGGTTTAGAGAGTTGACATTCCTTCAACCATTTTGCTTTGAAGATATTATTCACTTTTCTGGATATTTTTAAAACACTGACTTACTGTTTTGGTCTTGTCCCCATTGGAAATAAGACTCTCTGTGTTTATTTGCAAAAGTAACCACTTACGGTGACCTCATTTTTATTTTGGCTTTTGGAGGGTGTGCTATCTAGGTCATCTTTTGTTCATATTGAACAGTGTTCTGGAAGACTGAATCTCCAAAAATTTTACAGTTTCTAAAAACTGTCAGTTGTAAATTTTGAGAGCAAACATATCTGGCACCCCAATGCATAATGATGCCATGTACAAGGTGCTTTTAGAATGGTCACAGAATTCCAAGAGTATATGAAATCAGGTATGTACCAACATTGTTTGCACAGAATAAGTCAAAGGAATGCAGCACAATACTATGTATGCAAATTTACTGGCAAATACTCAGGATTGCAACTTCACTTGTATCAACCTAGGAAAATAATTTAAAGTATTTCTGTATAATACTGTGAATCCAGCTTGATGCCATTAAAGTGATGAATAAGAAATCTAGTTAACAGGTTTACTTACATTTCTTACTTATCCTTGTATAACTGTCTAATGCTTTTGCCATTATCTACCACTGTTTGGAAGTCTTCATTGGCATATAACATCCCACTCCTGTTATGGTATCCTTGATCACAGTCCTGTATGTTCATCAGTATTATCTCAGGTGGGGAAACAGGTTGAAAAGCAGTATCCTATCAAAGGCTGCCCAGTTAGCCCAAAACAGATATGGTACTTGAACTTAGTTCCAACTCCATCTCCTTCTCCATTGGACCACACTAAAATTATTCTTAATGCTGATGAGTCGCTAGGCTGAGAACTCACAGGATTGGATCCATCATCACATGAGTGGACATTTGCTCATGCAGGGGGACATAGTTTGTCCCCCTTTCCCTGCAGCAATCCCCTGCAGGCCGCCTCCCAGAAGATTCTCCAGGACAGGCCTGAGGACCATGCAGACTGCAGAGGTTAAGATCTGGCTAGCCAGTTATTTCCCTTGCAGTAATAGAATGGCATAATTGGAACTATCGTATAGAAATGGGTAGCAATACGCATGTTGTTGAAGGAGACAACTCTATCCTTTCTGCTGGTGCTGAAAGCTTTGGAGATGGCACGATGATATCCAATAGCATCTCTATGCCAACATGGTCCAGGCAGAAGAATCCCAGAAGAAAACGTATTCAGCAGGTTATGGATTTCCTTGTCGGGAAGCTGAACCAGAATGTGTTCCACAAATCATTTCGGTTCAGCTTCAGTGGCATATTAAGCTTCATGCCACATGCACCAAGTTGGCTTCCAGATCCTATTGGCTTCAGGAATTGCTGAAGTTCCTGTTCCAGCCTAGTTGAAGATGTCTTTAACCAAGGGTAGAACCATAAAGCGATTGCTGATTGATGCCCCTACTCTCAGTGTGGTCCTTGAATGGCTTGGCCACAACTAAAGAAAGAGCTTACACAGCTCATATAAAAGAATGGCAAGAATGGGCAGTGTAATGGCTAATGACCATCGAGCTGACCTTGTGATTAATACTGAACCCTGCAGTGGAACTATAAAGCTGCAGTTGGTCCCACCTGATACACATAAAATGTTGTTTAATTTTAGCTGTGGCAGCTGCATAAGCCAAGTCTTTCTGATGTGCCTTCTAGCATTCTGCATCAAGCAAAAGCAGGGGCATGGGATGCTTTGCTTCCTATACTTGAGTATTCTGAAAGGAGCTACAGTGAGGCTTGGAAGGAAGGTTCAGATACATGTTCAATATCTGGCAAGAACTCAGAGTTAACCAGCAAAATGTTTTTATATTTCATTTAACTTTTTTCTCCAACTCCCTAAATGCAGAAATATCCATCCACCATCTGTCAGTCCATCTGTCTGTCCGTCCGTCCATCCAGGGGGAAATTAATGATAATGTAAATATGTTCTTTAAAAAAAAAGTAAGGTGGTAGACTCTTAAAATTCTCTCCCTCTCCTCTGAAACTGGTTTCAGGCCTTGTTATAAGACAGACATTGCACTATTGGTAACCCTCTTAAGGGTCTTTATCTATTCCTTAACCATTGCACCTGGTTTCTCCTGCGAGTTGCTTGGAGCAGCACTCACCTGCTTCCTCATTCAGGGATCTACAGCTGACAAGAGCAGACCAGCCTGTTGAAGCCTGACACCTGTACAGGACACAGTGATGCATGCAAGGAATACCGCACTGTGCTATCCTCCTTGCTGCCAGCCTGCCCTCAGCATCCCTGACTTTCTCTGCTTTATCAGCATTCTTAGTCATGCAGAGACTTCTCACATTCAAGTAAAGGCATAGAAAGCCCCCTCCAGGCTTTGCTGAATGTGAGAAGGTGGGGGACACGGGGTGGGATGGAGCAGAGGACTGGTGTGCAAGAGGATGTTGGTGGGCCAGTAGCTGTGGGGAGCTGGTCTCTCCCTGCCAACATCCCTTCCCAGCTGATCAAGAGGAGAGACTTCTCACCACAGTCTTTTGGCTGGCCTGCCGGGGCTGGCTTTGTGATACAAAGTGAGTAATATAAAGGGCATTAACAAGAGGCATCCATCAGGCTGGGGAGCTCTTTAATTGTATAGTTAGCTCTGCTCATTCCAGAGATTTATTCCAAACTGAATTCCTCCCCTCCTTTCCCCACCAAACTGAGTAGACACCACATTCAGAGAGGATGGACTGCTTGTGGTCCAGATGGTCAGCACATTGGATGTTACTGAATTGCTCTGCTCACTTGACATGATGCCAGACTCCTGGACTGATCAGGTCACTTCCTCCCCCTCTGACCCTCCTTGTCCCACAGCGTGTCCCCCTGACCAGTGCCAGTCTGACTCTCACCAGATGTTGACCTTATTGCAAAGCTTGCTGGCCTTGACATATTATCTAAGCAATCCAACCCCGCCTCTTCTTCCAGTTCTGATTTGGGGTCTGAGGCATCCATGCTGGAAGACTGTCTTTGGCCCTTCCCCGTCCCACTCAGTTGCTGTTACCTGCTGAGGCATAATGACTGAACAGGGCTTGAGCTTCAGGAATTGGCTTGTATCCTGTGCCTGCAGAACACCCTTTGGGTACCACAGTAGATGTGACTACAATCTTATGAGTCTGGGGCAGGGATTCCATTTTCAGTAGTGCTTCAATCTCTCTTTAGAGCAGGAAGCAGCAATCTGAGCCCAGCCTTTGTGGAAGTATTTAAGGGTAAACTGAGGGTCAAACTATAGCAGTTTTCCTGTTGGCTTATTCTTTGGCAAAGAAATCCACTGGCTGCACTGTCAGACTTCTCATTATCTTCACTGCATTAAAAGAGTCAAATCTTTTCTGCCTTTGGCTGAATTCTAGATTGAGGCCCATTAATATTAAAAGAGCATCCACAATTTAGATTTATTTCAATAATCTGTGCTTTTCCTTTCTTCTTTTTAGCAATGGATGAATTGATGGCGAAGAAGAATTGGACCAATGTTGCTGAGTTCATCCTTGTGGGGTTTGTGGAGCAAACAGAGATGGAGATTCCTTTCTTTATTTTGTTCTTAGTGATCTATCTTATAACTCTAGTTGGGAATCTTGGAATGATTGTGTTAATTAGGATTGACTCCCAACTCCACACCCCGATGTACTTTTTTCTCAGCCATCTGTCATTGGTTGATGCCTGCTATTCCTCTGTGATCACCCCCAAGATGCTGATGGATTTCCTAACGAAGCATAAAGCAATTTGCTTCATGGAGTGTGCCATTCAGTTTTGTTTCTATGGAGGGCTGGCAGGGACAGAGTGTCTCCTCCTGGCTGTGATGGCTTATGACCGCTATGTGGCCATCTGCAATCCACTGCTTTATCCAATAGCCATGTCCAGGAGGAAGTGTGCTGTGTTAGTCACCATCTCATATGGCACTGCCTTTTTTAATTCAGTTGTGCAAACAATTTCAACTTTCCAGTTACCCTTTTGTGGCTCCACTGCTATCAACAATTTCTTCTGTGACATTGTGCCCCTCTTGAAGCTCTCCTGTGTCTCCACCAGAGCAAATGAGATTCTGATCTTAGCTTCTACCTGTATCATTGGGATGTCCTCTTGTTTCACTATTCTTCTCTCTTACTTCTACATCCTCTCTGCCATCCTTAAGATCCATTCCTTAGAGGGAAAGCGCAAAGCCTTCTCCACCTGCACCTCACACCTGACAGCCATCATCATCTTTTATGGGACCCTTCTCTTCATCTACTTCAGACCTAGAGCCAGCCACTTGCAGGACAAAGATAAGGTGATCTCGGTATTCTACACAGTGGTGATTCCCATGATGAACCCCCTAATTTACAGTCTCAGGAACAAGGAAGTGAAGGATGCTCTGAGGAAGGCTGGACAAAAGAGTGCCAGTCTTTTAAGATGGGGATGTTTCTGTGATTCAAGTGCTCAAAGAGAAAAGCATCCTCAAAGATATATTGACTGAGATGTCAGCAAGGATTACCATGACTAAAGATCTAACTGTAGGCTCAAACTACATGTTATGTAGAGATCTGTCATTCTTTTCTCTGTGGGAGTTATTGTTGTTACCACCGTTGTTTGTTTTATCCAAAGCTATGCTTAATCAAAATTAATCAATTGTGGATGGGTGAAGCCTCTTAACTGTTTCTACTCTACCTCTTTTCCAGCTCAAATATAGTTCTTTCATCAACTGGGGGAAAGATGGAGGTCATGCATATAATTAAGTTTCCAAAGTATTGATTCTTGGTGATAAAAAAATATTTGGGATATTCCAAAAGATCAAAAGATGCTTTTTATCCCTGAAATCTGACCAAATGAAGGATCTGCCCTGACCCCTTTTACGATCATTGGTGTAAAGGATGCCATCAGCAACTTATCGAAATGAGAATTGCTTTAGAAAACATATTGTGCTATTGTCTAATCAGGTAAAACAAACTTTTTCCATCCTTGCTTTTCAAATTAAACATGCAAATGTAAATTGTGAATTTCCAGAATTGTCAACGAGACCTGTTTGTATTTGAGAAGCCTATAGTATTGTAACAATGAATGGAATATCTTTTTCTACTCCCTCCCCTTAAGAAGGATTAAAACATTTGCAAAATCAGTTTTTAAATGGCAGTAGATCAGCTGATGTTTTAAGACTTTATGGACAGTTAATTGACACAAACAATTTTATTACAATTGGACTTGGATTGAGTTAAGGGCAAAATACATTTTAAAATGACGAAAATTAACAACAGCTAGATGGAAATGCAGGCAATGACTATCTCATCATATGACAATGCGTCATGAGTTACTTCCCATGATAGCCATCGTGGCATGATAACACAGACTGATTCCTGCAGGGTATCTTGTTTGAGGTCAGCAAGTCATACTCATAGCTGATAGTTTGTTCTCGGGGTTGTTCTACCTGCAGTGGGTCATCATGTCATCTAACCCCAGGTGGCCACCCCATAATGAGTACCAGGAATTGGCTAGAGACGTATTTGAAAAGAGCAGTGACAGCCATTGCTGATCTTGCCAGATGCGCCTGCGCACACATCAATGCTAGCTACCCTACAAGTGCCCAACTGACACCTGGGGGTGCCTGAGACCGGCTGGTGTCCCGCACCACAGTGACAAGACATTTTGACCCACCATAGCCTTTTTCTCCCTTTAACTGTTTGGGTTTGTGCATTGTGAAAGCTGGCATGTCAGTGGCTGGGAGGTGTTAAATTATTTTTGTTGTGTTGTGTTTGCACAATTGTGGGGGTGCACAGTTGCACAAGCAGAGCAAGTGGAAGCCTAAGCTGGATCAATGTTCTGTGGGGCACCTGCTGTCATAGTACCAGAGGTATCCACCCGGGGCATTGACTCAAGGAGGCTCCAAAAGGCTTTTCCTTCCCTTTGGTTTCTCCTGGCAGCTCCCAACAAAAGAGCTGTTCAGGGAAAGCAAATGTGTGAGTGATTTTGCTCGCTAAATGGAGATGGTTGAATTTACAAGCCTTTCATGGTAAGATCCTATATAGATGCTCAGGAATGTAAAAATGTGAGGACTGCCCCCTTTTAAATGGAGCACGTTCCTTTTAACTGGTGTTAAAAGGGGTGGCTGGCACTTTTTCATGTTCCTGAGACCTAGGAAAAGTGGCTGATAATCATAACAGAACCAGTATGGTGTAGTGCATAAAATTTTGGGCTGGGACCCTGGAAATCCAGGTTCTAGTCCCCACTCAGCTGTGAAACTCACTGGGTGACTCCCTGGGCCACTCACAGACTCTCAACCTAATCCAAGTACGTTCTCTATGTTACTAACACACATCCACTGCCCGCACATTTCTGCTTTAGTTTCTGAAATGGTGCAAAATAAATAAATAAATAAATAAATAAATTGGAGACCAGTTACATTCCAATTTAGCAAAATGCTCTCTTCTGGATGAATTCAAATGAGTTGGATTCCTATGATTGTATCCTGCAGATTCCACAATAGACTACACACATGCAAACTTGCAGACCTTAAAAAAAACTTCACTTGCAGGCAGCTTTTGAGCCATCTTGTCCTTTTGCAAATGTGTAACATTATCATACAAGAAGATCTGGTTCCATCAATGAGCACATAATAGAATCAAAGAAGCCTGACAAGTCATAAAACACGGGTGCCTATTGGTACATCTCAGGCCTGGACTCCTGGAGGTAATGCTTAGAGATAACCAAGCAAGTAAACAATTCACAAGTCTGGTTTAACACCAAATCTGAGTTTACATATGCCCGAGAATCATGCTTCAGTGCTTGGAAGATTATACAACTGGATCCACTTTCTTTCCAGGTTGCTGACGCAATGGTAACACTCAATGTGAAATCTTGATCTTATCTGTTACTCTCTTCAGTGCGTCCTTCACCTCCTTGTTTCTTAAGCTGTAGATAAAAGGGTTGAGCATTGGAATGGCAAATGCGTACAGTACAGACATAATTTTATGCTGACCATCTGAATAGTTTGAACTGGACTGCAAATAGACAAACAGGCCAGTTCCGTAAAATATGGTCACAGCAATCAGGTGGGAAATACATGTAGAGAAAGCTTTTCGTTGTCCAGTAACCACATTGCTCTTCAGCACTGTGGAAAAGATGTAGAGGTAAGAGCTTAGTATAATCAGGAGGGGAGCCAAGAGAACAATTCCAGCACAACTGAAAGCTAATTTTTCAGCTGCAGAGGTGTCTGAACATGAAAGCTTGAGGAGTGAAGGGATCTCACAGAAGAAATGGTTAATTTCATTGGACTCACAGAAAGACAATGAAGCTAACAAAATAGTATTTATTGTTGAGTTCAGGAAGCCAGCTGTGAATGCTCCACTTACCATCTTGACACACAGGGAGTGAGACATAATAGATGAGTACAGCAAAGGCGTGTTAATGGCCACATAGCGATCAATGGCCATCAGCCCAAAAAGGATGCACTCTGCACTTGCAAAAGCGACAAAAGAATACATTTGGACAAAGCATCCCACAAAGGAAATGGTTTTTCTCTGCAACAAGAAATTTTCTAAAGTTTTTGGGGTGATGTTGGAAGAATAGCATACATCTAGGAAAGCCAAATTACTGAGGAAAAAGTACATGGGGGTATGAAGCTGAGGGTCTATCCAGATCAGTAAAATCACTCCTAGGTTGCCCGCCACAGTGATAAGATAAATCAGTAGGAAAAATATGAAAATGGGAATCTTCAATTCTGGCTGATCTGGAAATCCCAAGAAGATAAATTCAGACACTCTGCTGTTATTTTCTGTGGACATCTCAGTGGCAAAATTACTCTCATGGTTCTTATGCATCTTCATGTACCTGCTGAAGCCAAAACAAAAACTGGCCTGAAATTTGACTGTACTTCACTGACCTCTAGCTTTATCTAATAGGCAAATCCCAGATATCATGTTGGTACTTTCTATGGGCATCTCTGCAAAATTATTCCTGTGAAACTCATGATGAACATATATGGATTATCATGTTTCTTCAGCAGGCATTCGCAGAAAGGTCCTCCTGGTTGTTACCATGGAACGGCTTTCTCCCCAGCTTTTAATTGGTAGCAGATTTCTGCTCCATTTGGTTTGTAGAGCAAATAGTTTATTGTCCTTTTTCTTTCAACCTATAAATATAATGTAAAATAGAAGTCATAACTTAGTCTAAGGAGATTGTTAATATTCTATGCATTTTTATTTTGCCTAAAATTGAGCAAATGAGACTTAAATACACTAAAATAGCCTTTAAATGATCTTTCCTTGGTCATGCACCCTCTAGATATGTCAGACTCCAACTCCCATAATCCCCAGCCAACATGGGCATTGTGAATTTTAGTCTACTTAGTCTAGGGTATACCATATTGGGGAAAGCTAATACTTATAAATTCTCCTCCTCCTCCTCCTCCTCCTCCTCCTCCTCCTATCTCTCTGTAGCTGTGACAACAGGGAAATGTACACTAAGCATCTGTACCTGCATTGTAAACTCACCAGTGTGTGCAACATGATGCTCAGCTCAACCCATCTTTCTCGTGCTGTTTCTACCACTATATCCTGAATTTTCTCATGGCTTGGTTTTTTTATAAGTTATGGTTTACTCCTGGTATATGGATCGGTGTGTGCTAAACTTTTGGTACTGTTCTGGTGCCAGGAGGAGCAGGCTGTTCAGCTGTGGGGGTGGGGGGGGGAGAGGAAGTGTCCTTTTGGGGCTTCAGCAAAACTCAGAGATCCTTCGTTGCTTTCCTCAACTCCACCTGTTCCACAACTTCTCTCTCTCTCTCTTTCTCTCTGATTTGCAAATACCCCTCCCTTGTCCCATGTGAAATAAAATTTGCAGTGTCTTGTCGAGCCTTCCTGATTGCCTCCTTTGCCCTCTTGCTCAAGATGTAACTAGCCGAAGTCCATATCTCTCACAACAGATTTCCAGAAAGACAACCAGCCCCCTGAGGTGCCTACAGAGCCCATACTCAGTTTTCCATGCCTCTTCCTCTGTGCCTCACTTAGACTGCCATGGATTATTCTTTACACACAGAGAACCTAGATTATACTATCCATAGCTCTCTCTCTCTGTGTCTTTTGTCCCCTGTCATGCATTTCCCACTTATTTGGACAATACAGGAGAACTGATCTAACAATTAAAGGTCAAAACCTTTTTATTTAAGTATTATTTTAAAAATTACTATTTAATAGTTTTAATCAGTTGCTCTTGACTTAATTTATTTTTATTGGCTTTATATTGCTTTATATTTGTATCAATTGTTATTCGTTTTAGATTTTAATGTTTGTAAGCAGTCCTGAGATGCCACACATAGAGGATGGCATATAAAAGTTTTAAATAAATAAATAAATAAATAAATAAATAAATAAATGCATCAGTGGAAACACATTCCCTAGCCTATTCACATCCTTTTGCCAGGTGCAAGGCTCTGACCAAGTATGGTCCTAGTGTAACCCACACTGATGGCACTAATCACAGAACTCTAACATGATTCCCATAACAATAACTTCATTTTCTTTTTGTGCTGGTTTATATCAGGACTGGGCCGAAAGTAGTTCCCCAGGTGATTTGGACTTCAGCTCCTGACATTCTTGGCAATTCTTGGCTTCATTGGCAGATGCTTCTAAAGTTGAAGCCCAAAACATCTGGGGGCCTTCTGCCCACCACTGATGCATGTAGTATTAATAATTCAAGAACATGACAGGGGTTTTCCTTTAAGTCAGGAGTAATCAAACTATTTGGCTCCAAAAGTGGCATTTTAGGACGAGGAGGTTGAAATCTACCTTCTCTGACCACTGACATCTCAGAATCACTGAGGGGAAAGCCTCTCTCATGAAATAGCCATCGGCACTGAGATGGTTGTTTTTCCACTCCTAGTATTAGAAGCAGCAGTTGGGCTATGAGGGAGTATTTGGGCCAGCTTTGGCGTATTTCTTGCCAGGTTTGAGAGGGTCTACCAAGAATCACTCAGAGCTGCTTGCACAAATTCCCCAATCAAAATGGGAATGGAATAAGGCCAGAGCTATGCAACAATTCCCAAGCAAAGTTTCTGCAGCCAAAATGGGAGGGAGAAGTTTTGGGAAAGAATTGGCAGGTCTGAAGGGCATATTGAGCCTGCTAGCCTAAGGAAAATGGCTGCTGTTGGACTCAGAAGGATTACAGATGTCAGCTCTTTGTGTGTGTGTGTGTGTGTGTGTGTGTGTGTGTGTGAGAGAGAGAGAGAGAGAGAGAGAGAGAGAGAGAGAGAGAGAGAGAGAGAGAGAGAGAGAGAGAGATCCTGCTTTGTGTGATTGTGAAATTGTTGTGTTTCAGGGCATGTGTGAGCTATCGCATGTGTTTGTGTCAGTTTCAACAATGAGTATTTGTAAGAACTGCAGTTGTTGGTGTTGCCATGCTTGGAAGACATTTCAGGGAAAACATATCAGTTTTAGTGTGGGGGTGGAGGGGAGAGCAAAAACAAACAAAAGCCAAATCTCAAATAATCTGATCCAGAGCTTGATTGCACTGCACTGTGTGAACAGAGTTTATATACCTGAGACCTCCTCACATTAAATTATATTGCCTGCGTGTGTAATTGTTTCCTGGGGACATCCAAATGTAAGCATAATAATGCTGTTTCAAAATGAAGACAAATCATCTTTTATTAACAATGGGTTTATCTGGGATGAAAGGGTACCAAAATATTTAAACTAGTTGAACTCTGTTGGTATTTCCCCGGTTCTCATTCTGATTGCACAAATACGGACCTCATACTCATCCTTTGTGCATGGACATGTACACACACAACTTAAATCCCCCATTCAGACACCAAACACCCATTCATAAACCCCTATACTATTCACTCATATACACAACCTAAAATAATACACACACACACACACACACGTCTCTATTCACATCCTAAACATCAGTCTTCCCTCTTCTCTCCCTCTCCCTCTCTGTTTTGCCGATATACACAGTGCAAAGGCATGGATTAGACAATTCATCTGAGCTGAAATAATCCTGTAATACATACCATATGGCCAGGCAGAAAGTCACTTCCCATCTCCCCATCTTCCTATGTTTTTGTTATTACAACTGCAGAATTAATCCATCTAATGCATATTACTAGAAGAATTCATCGCAGCAACCCCAGGATGTATGACTGATTTTATTCACAACTAGGCACCACCTACTTCAATTACGTTAATGAAACAACTGTTTTTTTCCTGGGCTCCTTTGCAAATATACAGATGGGAGTACATATTTATCCACTGTTTACAAATGTAAGGGGCTTGGTCTCTGAGAACCTGAACGATCTCAGTCTTCAGAAGTTGTCTTGTTCTTCTATAGTGCTGGAACAGCTAGAAGGGAGATGGTGGGATAGCTTCTGGTCTATAAACCATCACAGCTTTATCAACAAGGCTTCTAAGCAACTGGACACAGCTTCTGGGCAGCTCATCTTCTCAGAAGTCCTAGGTCCCAGGGTGGGATGAACTCCAGAACTGGGGGGCTTCAGAGAGCTCAGTTGGATACCACCATCCTGCACAGTAGAGCAAAGTGTTGCAGATGGCCACATAATGGGTCAAATGGTCATAGGCCATCAGCCCAAAAAGGATGCACTATGTACATTTGGAGGAAGCAGGAAGGAAGTGGCTTTCCTGTGTGACAGAAAATTTTCCAAGGCATTGAAGAAAAAGTAGCAAAAATCTAGGAGAGCCAAATTACTGAGGAAAAAGGACACGGGGGTATGAAGCTGAGGGTCTATAACAAGATCAGCGAAATCATTCCAAAGTTGCCCACCACAGTGATAACATAGATTACTAGAAACACTGTGAAAATGGGAATTATTCATTCCTGCAGTTCTGCAAATCCCAGGAAGATAAATTCACACACCAGTGCTATTTTCTACAGACAGAATTATTTCCTACTGCAGTAGGATTATTTCTGCATTTCTCATTTGAATTGTGTCAGTTGGAGCCAGTGCTTTTTTGGTAAGAAAAAAGGTGCCGGAACTCATGAAATTATTTACCTTTCGCATGTAGTCAATCACTGTACACACCCACACACGTCAGTTGTGTAATGCATAATGGTTGCCACCCACAGTAAGCACTCAGTGTGCATCCACATGACCATTCACAAGCTGAGCAGCACCACAAGCCGAGCAGCGCCATCGCAACCAGTGTGGACAAAGTACGCATGCATCGGATTCGACACACAAGCAGCCCGCATGCACCGTTTTAATGATTTTGCCGCTGACCTGCTACACTCGATAGGGTGATTCAAATCCACATGGACCAAACATCAAATTTTCCAAAGTTACTTTAAAACTTGGAAAATCTGTCGAAAACAGGTGCCGGAACTCCATTCTGGTGCGTTCTATGACAAAAAAAGCACTGGTTGAATCTATTTCCTAGTATGTAATGCATGTCACAATAGATGCACTGTGTACCAAACGAGTAATAAATTTAAATGCATTCAGGTGGTGAATATGGAGCAGATGTCAAATGATTTGGGATACAGTATCACCAGTACAGTCACTGAGTCACCCAGCTCACTTTCCCTGTCACATCTGAGTCACAAGAAGGCATGCACACTCTGAACTGATGGCTGGAGGCCATTATTTATTTATTTCATTTATACGTCACTCCATAGCTGAAAGGCCTCTCTGGGCAGCTTACAATAAAAACAGCAGCAACAACCAAAAAACAAACAAGTAAAAGAATAAAATCCATTAAAGCAATATAAAAGCTGGCATTCAAGGTGAAGTCACAGCAAAGCATGCAATAATTAAAATTAAAGCAATGTTCAAAACCAGTCCAGCTACCACAACACCTGTTAAGTAAAAATGTACTTAGTTAGCACTGCAAAGAGAGCAGCGATGGTACCAAACATACCTCCTTGGAGAGCATATTCCGTAAGTGTGGCGCAACCCAAATAAGGCCCTTCTCCTAGCCACTTTGTTGTGCAGTGATTCTTGGACAGGAGTGCCATTGAAGATCCGGTTGTGGTTATCACACACACATTAAAAGAACCACACTGGCTGCTACTACCCACTGTGTCATTTTCAAGTTGTGTTGCTGACGTTCAAAGCCTGGAATAACTCAGGCCAGGATTCTTAGTCCACCATCTTATGCATATGTACCAAATCAGCCCCTGAATCTTCTGAGGACACCTTACTGCTCATACAATGGCCAACTTGTATGGCCATATAGTGCCACCAAAATGCCCCCATCTTGGTAGTGGCACCCATGTATAGTCCAAGAAGCCGGAACGCTGGAGACCATTCGATGCTTCTTGAATACTTACCTGTTTCTCAGACATTCCCTGGCCTGTAATCACACTGCTCTGCTTTAGTCTTGGTATAACATTGTTTTTTATTTCATGCATTTTACATGTAAACCATTTAGAGATCCTAGGCTATCAAGTAGCAGACAAGTAGTCTGAATAAAAACATAAATAAACAGCAGTGCGTTGCCTCTGGATTTTGGCTACGGATCACAATTTCTCCTCTGGTCCGAGCAAGTGCTAATGACACTGAGCTAGTGCGAAGGTTAGCGGTTTGCATTAGTGGCAGGGCAGCATTGGACCCTGATCAAAGTTCCACAGGACACTGCAGAAGGCCAAGTTAATGTGAAACAAGAGAAGTAAAAGAGAAGACAAGGAGCAAGCAGTAAGAGCAGGGTCAGTCAAAAGGCCTCACCTTGGTAATTAGAGACACTTCTTCATTTAATGGGCCCTCTCTACAATCCTGAGGAAAAGGTCCAATAGACACTTAGATTATCGCAGCTTCTCCTAATCGGTTAATTATCCTCCAGAAGTTAGGGACTTTGACTCCCAATGGTCAGGAATGCT